TGCCTCCTTAGTCTAGCGGTTGTAAGCGCGACAGCTGATCATGAGGTCCCAGGTTCGAATCCCGGGTTGGACCAAAATTAGTTATTGGGTTTTCCAAAATTAGGTTCTTCCAAAAATTAGGTTAGTCAATATTTTTTTTATTTTTTTTTAACGTTACCTCCACACTAAATTTTTTTCTGTGTCGTGGGCAGTTTACAAACATGAATTTCACAAAGACAACAAATACTTGTTCCGTGCGGAATTCAAAGTTCGAACCCGCGGCTCTTAGCACTGCAACTCATTGCTAAACCACTGCGCCACGGAGCAGTAAATTTTCGTAATTTTTCTGTATCACCCCAAATTCAGGAAGTTGGGAGTGTTTCACCCCCGTGCGTCGAAAAACACGTAAAGCTGTTGGTCTTGCACCTGATCTCCAGTGGTGTCGGATTGCCATCACCACGGACTATGAGGGTAGAAACAGGGAGTGGCTAGTTCCTATTGAGACTTGCCGCCAAGATCATAATTCGGTCTGGAGGACATAAACTTTAGTACTAAAATAAAACAAGTTCCTTAAAATAGTACTTTATTTATATTTACATTACATAACGCAGCAAACTCAATCACATGGAAGAAATGGTACACAAATCCACTCATTGTACATTAAACACAAACATTGGTCTTCGTCTGTTTGTGATTATTGTGTGCATTCAAACTAATTATTCACAATACAATCATAAAACAAATGCAACGATCCTTTAGGTGTCTTTGGATGACAGTTTGGTTTTAAATACAATAATATAAGAAAATCGTACACAAGGTAATTTGTCTTTCGATTAACACTTGGCAACACTGACAGTCACAGGCATTGAAGGTCATTAGATATACCATAACACTTTCTATAAAAAATAAACGTAACGATACAAAGCTAGATCTATATTTTCCTCTCTGTCCACACCTTAGCTTAGTGTCAAAAATAATTCTTTTTTAAACTAACCATCTAATTCAACTATAGAATATATACAAAAAGCGATTGCAAACTATCAAATAATTGGATTATTTAAATATACATAAACAACTTTTGGATCTGAATTTATATGGTCCACTGTGGAAGGTATCCTCTACTGTTAAATAAAAATTAACTCTATTGATTCACTAACAGAGTTTAGTTTGAAAATGATATAGTATTACATACATTTAAAAAAATTAAGTTCAGTTGAATTTTAAATCATTGATAACTTTTTTTACATCGGTTAAAACAAAAAGAATTAGTCAAATTAAGCCTAGTATTCATATAAACATTTTATCCAATATTTTTTACAATTTTAGCGTTAACGTTGCAGCCTATTAAAGTCCACTACTACATAGGCCTCCCCCCCATAGATTATCACATACGGACGGACACGGATATTTGCAATAGCTGCCACGCTTGGCAAGCGGGTTGGCAACTGCATTTTTATTTTAGTCATTACTAGCTGTTCCCCGCGACTTCACCCGCGTGTTATTTGGAGTTTTAATTATTTGCGCGGAACCCTAATTCTTTTTCTAAATAAAAGTAGCCTAAGTTACTCCTTGTGACAGTGATAATCCCGTCAAAATCGGTCCAGCCGTTTCAGAGATTAGGCGGAACAAACAGACAGACAGACAAAAACTTTAAAAATTGTATTTTTGTTATTAGTACCGTATGCATTTAGTAAAAAGCTGTAATTTTGACATTACAAACAGACACTTCAATTTTATTTATTTGTATAGATTAGGAAGACGCTGCTGCCCATCTCCTGATTTATTTCCTCCTGTCGTGTCGCCTCTTACGACACCCACGGGATGATACGAGGTAGATGATGTGGGGTAGTGAATATTCTTATACCGCCACTACACAGTTTTAATATATTACCAGATATAAATAAAGAGGCACGTATATCAGATTCAAGCGGCTCGAGAGAACATAGATCAGATCTATTACAAATAATACGCCAAAATAATTTACTGTTTATTATATTCAAGTCAATTTCCCTAATTCCTAATATTTATCTTCTTTGACGTGTAAATACGTCTCAGACGTGTGATTTGACTAAACTTTGTATTTCTAGCCTGACGATGGAATTACCGTACATTGCTTTTGTTACAAATTTTAGGATTGCGTACCCGAAGGGTAACCAACGGGACCCTATTACTAAGCCTCCGCTGTCCGTCCGTCTGTCTGTCAGCGGACTGTATCTCATGATCCGTAAAAGGTAAACAGTTGAAATTTTCACAGAATAAAAATAAAAATAAATTAAAAATTGAAGGGGGCTACCCTACTAGAAACGTGTTTTTATTGATACATGGTATTAAATCTTGTACGATGGTACGGAACGCTTCATGCACGAGTCCCAATCGCACTTGGCCGGTTTTTTTAATAATACTAATAATATTATTTAGTCAGTATTTGGATTTTACATAAAATATGTGGTAGAATAACAATTTATTCAAATGCTTTAGAAAATAATACGGAATTATATATCCTAATTCTTGCATATATGTATACTTGTGCTATATATATATCACAAGTATCAATCCATATAATATATACGCTCATCTTTTTTAATCTTGGTCACAACATCTTGCAAACCACACTGTTCTCTTATCTCACCCTATCGTTCAGAATTAGTCCTAACATACTTTAATTACTACAGCATTTATGTTACTCTCATGCATCTTCTACCACACCCAACTTTCACTACCATACATAATATGTTTAAACGTAAATTGAATTCTCGGAAATGGTTTACAAAATTTGGAATTAAATAATGTTTTACTTTACAAGTTTATCTAGATAGGTGTCCCGCCTGAGAAAATTATACTTCCTACCACAGTTTAAATACCTTACAGTTGTGAAACGCCTTTGATGTTAGGCGATGCTGCCGCCCGCGTAGGTATTCACGCGGTGTCACAAGTGCCCAGATAAGGTCTTTAAACTGTGCTTCCTTCCCTATCTACCTACCTACCTACCTACCTATCTACCTACTTACCTACCTACCTACCTACATACCTACCTACTTCATATTTTTATCTCTGCATCACCCAAAGGTTGACTGGAAGAGAATCCCTCAGGCATTAAGTCCGCCTATACATTATGTTGTATGAACTTTAATAAAAAAAATCTAACAGTACTATACAATTAATAATGAAATAATTCTGAAGTATCAAATTCATCGATGTTACAATTTAAACTTTAGAACCACATAAAGAAGAACAATAACCGTTCGTCAAAGTATATTTATTATTCTAGTGAAGTCAAATGTAAATAGTTACTATAATAATTATTATATTACGAAAATAAAAAGATCATTACTTTTGAAAAATTTTGATTATAGGATTATTTTACTTCATATCGGCAAAAATTAAAGGTTATTACTCTGTTCGCTTAGATACGGTCTCGCCTTTGTGTCGCACCGCCTTGGCACGTGAAGCATCTTGTCAAAGGCGCTGCCGGGACATCAAAGATCACCGCGTGCGTCGTACACCCGCAGGAGAATTTGGCATTTTAAAACGAAGCGCCGTTAAAGTGAAAGTTTCTTTGCTACCTAACTTGTGTTTATTATTTATATTTGTGTTTTATTATAATCACCATAAGAGTAAAATAGTAATCTATTAAATTCTTAGAACAGAAAAACATTTATTTAACAAACCTAGTAAAAAAAATTTAAATACAAAAGCAAAATAATAAGTGTGCCTCCGGGTGTACCGACACTATCTTAGTGAACAGACTATATTTAGATGGTATGTATCTAATTAATAGAGTAGGGGAAGATTTGCATTCAATCTTCACGCTTGGCAGGCGGGTCACAGCATCAGAGTGAACACTAAGCATTTTTAACGCTATTGCCTGTCTCGTCGCCGCTCTAAATCTGAATATTTTATATCTGGGCCATACAGCAATCTGTGGGGGAGCTCTGTGTTCAGCATTGGACTTTTAGAGGCATAGACACAGATGATATACCACCACCATTGAAAGCTATAAAATATTTCTGTCTTTCCCCATGATCGCCTCTTACGACGCGAAGAAATACAAATACAGCACAGTGATCGGTTCACTAAACGAAAAAATAACAAAAATATTCATCATTAGAAGACATTAAACAAATACTGATTACATAGAATTTCATATACCTAAATTTTCTCAAATTGACTTTATTCCATAAAAATATGGATGTTATGTATGATTCGTACAAATAAAATAACTTACTATGCTGTCAAAAAGCCTTTGAGTCATTTTAAAAAAAAATCCTCTAGATCAGGGTTTCCAAACCTTTTTTGATCCCCTGGTCTCCTGCTAACTACGAAAAAATCTAAGTGGTAGGGACCACCATAAGGTGAAAGAAAAAACTGTGTTAATCTAACAATAAAAATTATATAATAAACTGAAAAGAAGCATTCATTATACATAGGTATTTATTAAAGTTGCACTGCCCGCGTGACGAGAAAAAAATAAATGTGTTATTTAAAATGATTAGGTAGGTAAAATATTTAAATCTTTCGCGAACCATACTTAAGCTGTTGCGGACCACTGGTATCCGCGGACCACTGGTATCCGCGGACCATTGGTATCCGCGGACTATTGGTATCCGCGGACCATTGGTATCCGCGGACCATTGGTATCCGCGGACCATTGGTATCCGCGGACCACTGGTATACGCGAACCATTGTTATCCGCGGACCACTGATTGGAAATCACTGCTCCAGATTAAACTAATATTTCTTACTATATATTTTGTTTCCTGGGATTGATTCCTTCTTATACCTATTTGATTGTAATATATCATTGTACATGACCGATTCCAATGAAAATCAGAACAAATCTAAACAGCACTATAACATATCCTAACCTATTCTTGTCTAGTTCTTGGTCCTGCTGCCTAAATCAAATAGGATCGAAACTATACAAACACAATCAATATTCACACATCAGATGATAGCCTTCCGTTCCACACGGAAGAAATTAATTTAACAGATGTAATTTCATGAAACGATACACGCTCTTTCTACTCCCACCGACTCCTCTTTCCACTCTTGCGGACTCGTTCGGGTTTCTCTTCGTTCGCCTGGGCGGCGGGGGCGTTGACCCCGGGCTGGATTTGCGGCCGCGTTTGCTCCCACGAGTGATCAGTGGAGGCGGTGAACTAAAATATAAAAGTATGTAAGTTAACCGCAGCTTTTTAACCGACTTCAAAAAAGGAGAAGGTACTCAATTCAACTGCATTTTTTTATGTGTTACCTCAGAACTTTTTTCTAGGTGAACCGATTTTGATTATTCTCTTTTTTTTATTTGAAAGCTGGTGCTTGGTGATGTGGTCCCATATAAATTTGATCATTCTTAATAATTCGTATTTAATTGACTTCGACTACTCAATGTAGTCGAAGTCAATTAAATACGAATTATTGTGATGTTCTTAGTGTGATGTTCTTATTTTATTCATAGTTTTTATTGTAAGTGTATATTATATATATATATATTACATATCGGTTAAGTTTACTTAGGTATTAGTATGTAAGTTTACTATAATATGCACCACCTCCCACTGTTCTTCAATTATTGTAGCTACCTCATAAGTTTTACTTCATGTAATCTGTTTTTATCGTTTTTTGGTGTACAATCAAGTATATAATAATAATAATAGGTTTACCCTATAGACTTCCTCATAAAGGATATTTTTTACCGAGGCAACCTTAATCCATAGTGCAATAGGTGAGTACCTGATTATACTGTGAGCGGAAGGCCTGCTTCAAGGAAGCCAGTCTGTCCGTGGCTGGTCCATGGCTTTTGTCCATCGGCACGGTGGGTGTTATTTCATCACTGACCGCTGGTAATCCGGGACGCTCTTTGTATCTGTAAACAAACAAGAGCATTAAGCTACACGTCAAGAGGTGAGAGCGAATGTTCAATTCTTTTTTTATAGAATAAGGGGTGACGAACTAGCAACCAGTTTACTTTATACTTAGTGGATGCTGTGGCCTATAGACATGTACATTTATTCTCGATTAAGAATCAGAATGCAGATGCGTTGTTACCCATGAGGACTACGATGGAATGCCTCGTATCCAGTAAAAACACAGCAGCATTAAGCTGCTATTTTAGATTCACACGTTGTAGAGCCATGCTGCATCCATATTACTGGTATAGTTGTAGCACGCATGGGTCGGCTCGACCGGGGAAGGACCACGCTCTCACAGAATACCAGCGTAAAATAGCAGCTTAACACTGCTGTGTTTCGTATGGTGAGTGTAGAGAACCGGAGACCCTTTTTACTGGAAAAAAGGTCCATTTTGATTATTTATTGAGAATAGATGTAGATGTCTATGGGTCACAGCAACCACTTACCATCAGTTGGACTGTGTCCTCGTTTGTAACCCTATCCTATAAAAAAATAGTTTATATGATAGATAAACTTGCTCTACTCTCTACTAAATTAAATATTAACATCAGAAAGAAAGTGTATCACATCAACGTTCAGCATACGAGGGCGGGTGAAAAAGTTCACGGAAAGGAGGGGTTAAAGAAGGGAGGGTGGGATTTTTTAAAATAGTGACTACTTGGTGACTCAATACAATTATAAATACCAAGTTTCAATCAGATGTTGTGCTCCTTTTGCACGACAATCGTACCCGTCCACGAGTCATGTTGCAATGGCTTCCTTACACAAGTGCTGCTTCGAAACTTTAAACCACCCTTAAGATTACCCCTTCGGATTATTATTTGTTGTCAAATATGAAAAAACAGTTTTGGGGAAAGAAATTTACAGATGACGAAGAAGTAAAGTTGGCAATTTCGGCCTATTTTGAGGACATTGACAAAACATTTTTTTTTTCAAAGGTATAAATAAAGTTATTTGAACGGTCTGAGAAGTGTACAGGGTTAATGCAGAACATATCGAAAAGAAAAACAATTTCATGTTTAATTTCACCCCCCTTCCCTTTCACTATGCAAACTTTATGATTTCCCCTCGTAGCACAATTAACATAACGTAATATGTGCCGGTGATAATTACACATGTAGTGAAACACAAAAGAAAAATAATGTCATTAGTAATAGTTAATTGAACCGAACGTGGCAACTATAGCTAAATCACCACTATACAATCTATGGGGGAGGCCTATGTTCGGCAGTGGATTTTTATAGCCGGTAATGGACTTTCGTTATAAAAAATATCATACTTGACGCGATCATGTGTTCTTACACAAAATTATTAAACAAAGAAGTCTTACAGATGCGTTGTCACTTTCCAGTAATAAAATGAAATGCCTCACAGTATCAACTTTAAACAAGAAGGCTACTGATGCATTGTCATCTCAAGAGGACTAACATAACATGCCTCACGCCTTGTAATTATATTGACTTTCTTTAGACCGAAACACAACAGTGCAATCACTGTACACTATTTTCGGCAGAAACAGGTAACAGCGTGGTACCTAACTCAGACAGACTCCTCGGCTGAAAAGAAGTCCTACCTACCACCCAGAATAATTTATAACGTATAAACCAATTGTGGAAACTTCTCTGGCTTTAGTAACGTCTAAGAAACATTTGCTTAAATTGATTACAACTTTGCTGTTTGTTTTCCCCCAACAAACAAATAAATAAACATGCAGCTATGTTTGCTTATGTTTGTTATTCTTATATACCATGATGATACCTACGGCAAAACCTGTCGGTTTTTATAATTCATCATCATCATTATTATTACAGCCTTTCACAAGTCCACTGCTGAGCATATGCCTACCCCGAGGATAGCCCCAAAGCACGGTCCTGAGTTATATCCATCGACTTCTTACATGTCTTACCAAGTTGACACTCCATCTAATGGGGGAGGGGAATACCACATTTCGCCTACCGGTAGGAGGTTACCACTCGAGACCCTTTCTTCCCCCATCGATTCTCGGTTCTTAGAGCTATACGGCAGGCCAATGCCACTTTAGCTTACTAATCCGTTGGGCTATGTCGGTCACTCTGGTTCTACAGCGGATATCCTGATTTCTAAGTTTATCACGCAGAAAACTCCGAGCATACTCTCCACAGCTCGCTGAGCGACCTTCAGCTTCCTCATATGGCCAGCAGTGAAGGACCATATTTCAGATCTACGTTTATCACGGAGAAAACTCCGAGCATACTCTCCACATTTGTTAAGTCATCACTGGCCACACTGGTTGTACTGTTGTGTCTTTAAGTTTTGAAGTATACCTGAAGAGAAGATGTGTCATAATCTCTTGAACGCTACCCAGTCGATTTTATAATTAGCATACATGGACGTATAAAAAAGGCGGACAGAATTTTGTTAAGAAAGGACTGATGCACTGTAATGGCGGCGGTGCAAGTATGTTTGCGTGTTATATAGGGTTGTCATGTGAAACAAAATTTCCCCATTTTTTTTATAAAACAATCTGTCAAAATATAACACAACTTTGACGAAATACTAATTTATTATTACGTAACTAATAAAAATAAAACATTTGACTATTAAAAAAAATCTAAGAATTTAAGATTTAGATTTTGATTGAAAGCGAATTATTCTATTTCAATCAATTTCCATTTAAATTAATTTTATTGCAAACATTATATTATACAAAAATTGTGTTATATTATAGGTAAGCAAAAAATTCCATATAAAATTAATTTAAAATATATTATTTTAGAATTAGTACGAAAATATTTAGAAACAGCATGGTAGCGATCACCTCATTCTCAGGGGTTATTATCAATCATGTACTCTTTAGTAGTATAGCATAATAATCCTTACTAAACAATTTTTGCTTGATAAAAATTTTAAACTTTGATAGATAAGGCCTGCATATTTTCTGGGACTTTGTTGTGAAAACGTATACACGAAGGAATTACTGATTCTTTTAGTCGATTAACTGGTATAACTAACTTGAGTTTGTTCCTAGTATTTACAGAATGAATATACGTCACTAGATACAAATACATACATTAAATTTCCGTAAATATACTGAGAGGCCAAAGTTAATATATTTATTTATTTACATTTTTTGCAAGTGTAAATTATAGTTATTATTTATGATTCGAAACGGTCAGCCACCGCAGAGTCTACATCACCTGAAGATGCCGTATAGAGGCGAAACACGTGTCGTATTGTCGTCAGTGGTGTGTCTTTTCTAATTTAGTGGTGTTGGGAGTAGTGGTACTGGGATTAGTGGTGACGGGATAGTGCACGTAACTGAGGGAGGGCGGGAGGTGCTCTTCAAACTAGGTAAGACACATCAATTTATTTTATCGAGCGGATGTACGCGAGGTAATTTTTTACCAACTTTGTTATTATTTATGACAATGAGTCATAAATAATTACCGTAATTTATCATTTTCATGACAAACCACAACGTTAAAAACCTTTTTGTTAAATAATTTTTCTAAACAAATGTCTTTTACTTTCGAAGGTTCTTGAAATCCCCTCTAATTTAGAAATATGGTAAAATCGAATCGCCAAATATTTTTCTGCTATATATTTAATAACTCTTATCTTGTGCTCTATCCCCGCAAATGTGTGCTCAAATTCCAAGCTTACAAAAACCCTGTTATTGGCAATAAACTTTTCTTATATTTTTGTAAGTATATACTTTTGTTGCCTTCCATTGTACATTGTAATGTTTTCCTTAATGATCTTTCGTACAAACATTTCGCAAGTACAACAAATATTAAATAAATCGTTAGATGGAAAATGTAAACCTCCTAAAGTTTTCAAATTTATTAATTTATGAAAGAAATGCCTTTCTCCAGTATCTCCAGAAACGCGCGGTGCATTTTTGGCATTTAATTTATTTTTTGTTGCATAATAAGCAATGCTACCCGCCAGATATCCTATTATTAACTTACTAAAAACTGCATAAAATTGCATTATAATCGATCGAGTAATTTTTCAGGAAAATTGTAACAAAAAAGTGCACATAAAACAACCTTAAGAGGTTGCTGGGCAAACATATATACCGTACCCGTGCCATCATTGGTGAAAATAGCAATTTCCCAAATTTCGGGTAATTTTCCCTATAAATATAATTAACAACACTGATCACGTAACTCACGTTTTGTGTTCCAAAAATATCATTTTAATTTAAGACATAAAATTCTCAAATAAGTAATTATAATTACTGACTCACCTATGAAAGGTGATTCCTTGATGTTTTTTGATAAAACCGCTATGATTTTTACACAAATTTAACGACGCAAGACGGCATATTGATTTTTGTTTTTACTTACGCCAACTACTTCTCTCGGACGAAGTTTGTTGCGTAATGGCGGGCGCTAGACTTATTATTAGTGTGAATGTTTGCGTGACCCCTTGTACGTACACGCGATCTGACTTATTATGGGTGCCTCACTGAGTTGTATAGCGAAATTCAGTCCGCTTTATTTATACGTCCATGTTAGCATATTAATGATATAAAATAAATATTCTGAAACTAGTACAACTATTGTGCTAAGGGCTGGAGAGGGTGTGGTTGCAGGCCTGCTGTACACCTTGTTTAATTTATGTTGGAAACTGAAGCGGGTACCGGAAGACTGGTGCAAAGCCGTTTTAGTCCCAATATATAAGGGAAAGGGGTCGCAGCAGGACTGTAAAAACTACCGTGGGATCAGCTTGCTTAGCATTGTGGGTAAACTGTATGCTAAGGTGTAAATTGAAAGAGTTATGGAAGAAACTGATGGAAAAATTTGGGATGTGCAAGCTGGATTTAGAAAGGGAATGGGGTGTACGGATCAAGTCCTTTCCATGCGCATGATTGCGGAGAAATTTTTGGCCAAAAACCAGAAAGTTTTTTGTGAGTTCATGGACTTGGAAAAGGCTTATGACAGAGTGGACATGAACGTGTTATGGCAAACACTGACCTCATTTAGGTTGAGCGCTGGTCTGGTCTCTTTATAGGGACTCTAGTGCTTGTGTCAGGATGAACGGGGTCTGCTCGGACTGGTTTGGCATTCAAAAAGGTGTCAGACAGGGCTGTGTAGCTTCTCCGTGGCTGTTTAACCTATTTATGGACAGTTGTTTGCAAACTTTGAAAGTTGAAGAATGTGGGTTGAGAATGGGTCAGTTAACCGTCAAATGCCTTTTGTACGCCGTTGATCAAGTCATATTTGCATCGTCGGCGGCCGAGTTGCAAATGATGGTTAATTTAATGAACTGATCATTAAAAGAAAGGGGTATGAAAGTGAACGCAAATAAGACGAAAGTGATGGTTTTTGAAAGAGAAGAAAGTAAAACGTTATGTGAAATAAGAATAGAAGGGGAGTTGACTGAGCAAGTGGACTAGTTTGTATATTTGGGATGTTTATTTAGCAGGGATGGTAGATATGATAAGGATATAGAACGACGAGTGAACGCAGGAAATAGAGTTAATGGGGCTCTACACGCTATTATGAAGAGTCAGAATGTGTCAAAGAAGGCACGTATGGCAGTTCATAATGCTGTGTTAGTCCCTACTATAATGTATGGTAGTGAAAGTTGGGTATGGCAGAAGAAGCATGAGAGTAGAATAAAGGCTGTAGAAATGCGGTCATTACGGAGTATGCTAGGGCTAAATCTGAATGACAGGGTGAGAAATAGTGTGATAAGAGAAAAGTGTGGTTTGCAAGATGACGTTGTGACTAGAATTAAAAAAGGAATGCTTCGGTGATTTGCTCACGTAGAAAGAATGAACGAGGAAAGAGTGACAAAGCAAATTTATGTTTCAGAAGTGAACGGCAAAGTCGGGAAGGGACGCCCTAGACGAAGATTTATCGACCAAATCGGCGATACATTGAAAACGGGCCAGATTAGGAGTACCCTTAACTAACGAGCGTGTATGCGTAAATATATGGATGTAAAGGAGGCGAGAGAGGTGTGTCAGGATCGCGCCAATTGGAAGTCCGTAGTCTCTGCCTACACCTCTGGGTGACAGGCGTGAGAGTTTGTGTTTGTGTGTAGTACAACTGTTTATCTAAATCATGAAAATGAAGCTGAGTTGAAGAATGAAGCGGAATTACACCAAGAGAAAGCAATCGCAAGAATAAATTATCACAAAAATTACTAAAAATAAATACTTTCTACTAATACTTATTTGTGATAATCAATAAGTTTAGAATTTTAAATATAAAATGCATATAATACTTTTGAAATTGCTGTTAGATTGCCTTGATTTATGGTCGATCATGCCTTACCCTAAGCCGCAGCCGCCTATGTTCAAATTTTTGCCTTTGCCTTTCTTGAAGCGCGACTTGCGGAACCACGCCGACTGCATCGCCAACTGCATTAACTCGTCGGGCACCTCCTGCAGTCAAAAGGTTTGTTTAACACCTTACTTTATGGTTTATTTTCCATTCATCCATACATTAAAGCCTATAAAAATCCACGAGTGAACATAGACCTTCACCATAGACTGGTGCTCTGCTGTAGTAATGTATGTGTGCGTACCTGCTGCACTTGCTCCAGGCTGCGCAGCAGGTGCGCGGCGAAGTCCCTGTCAGCGGGCGCCAGCAGCGTGTGCGCGTGTAATGTATGTGTGTGTACCTGGTGCAGTGCTGCAGTAACGTATGTGTGCGTACCTGCTGCACTTGCTCCAGGCTGCGCAGCAGGTGCGCGGCGAAGTCCCTGTCGGCGGGCGCCAGCAGCGTGTGCGCACGCAATGTATGTGAGTGTACCTGGTGCAGTGCTGCAGTAACGTATGTGTGCGTACCTGCTGCACTTGCTCCAGGCTGCGCAGCAGGTGCGCGGCGAAGTCCCTGTCGGCGGGCGCCAGCAGCGTGTGCGCACGCAATGTATGTGAGTGTACCTGGTGCAGTGCTGCAGTAACGTATGTGTGCGTACCTGCTGCACTTGCTCCAGGCTGCGCAGCAGGTGCGCGGCGAAGTCCCTGTCGGCGGGCGCCAGCAGCGTGTGCGCACGCAATGTATGTGAGTGTACCTGGTGCAGTGCTGCAGTAACGTATGTGTGCGTACCTGCTGCACTTGCTCCAGGCTGCGCAGCAGGTGCGCGGCGAAGTCCCTGTCGGCGGGCGCCAGCAGCGTGTGCGCACGCAATGTATGTGAGTGTACCTGGTGCAGTGCTGCAGTAACGTATGTGTGCGTACCTGCTGCACTTGCTCCAGGCTGCGCAGCAGGTGCGCGGCGAAGTCCCTGTCGGCGGGCGCCAGCAGCGTGTGCGCACGCAATGTATGTGAGTGTACCTGGTGCAGTGCTGCAGTAACGTATGTGTGCGTACCTGCTGCACTTGCTCCAGGCTGCGCAGCAGGTGCGCGGCGAAGTCCCTGTCGGCGGGCGCCAGCAGCGTGTGCGCACGCAATGTATGTGAGTGTACCTGGTGCAGTGCTGCAGTAACGTATGTGTGCGTACCTGCTGCACTTGCTCCAGGCTGCGCAGCAGGTGCGCGGCGAAGTCCCTGTCGGCGGGCGCCAGCAGCGTGTGCGCGCGGCCGCGCACGCCGGCGCGGCCGGTGCGCCCCACGCGGTGCGTGTGCGTGTCGATGTCGCGCGCCGCCGTGTAGTTCACCACCGTGCGCACGTGCGGGATGTCCAGACCGCGAGCTGGGATACAATTCTATGTACTACGACACTTGCGGGGATGTGCAGCCTGCGTACTGGGACACAACACTATGTACTACTGACGTACGGGGACGTGCAGCCCGCGTGCTGGGATACAACACTATGTAATGCTGCACGTGCGGGGATGTGCACCCCGCGTACTGGGACACAACACTATGTACTACTACACGTGCAGGGATGTGCAGCTCGCGTATTGGGACACAACACTATGTACTACTGGACGTATGGGGTTGTGCAGCCCGCGTACTGGGACACAACACTATGTACTACTGCATATGCGGGGATGTGCAGTCCGCGTACTGGGACACAACACTATGTACTACTACACGTGCGAGGATGGGCAGCCCGCGTACTGGGATACAACACTATGTATTATTTATTTTCCGAAATAATTTACATATTACATGTTGTAGCTCGGCAACATGTAATATGTAAATTACGACACATCTTCTCGTCAGGTATACCTCAAAACTTGAAAACGAGACTTTACAGCCAGTGCGTGTTGCCAGTGATGACATACGGAACTGAGACGTGGTCCTTCACTGCTGGCCGGATGAGGAGGCTCAAGGTCGCTCAGCGAGCTATGGAAAGGGCTATGCTCGGAGTTTCGCTGCGTGATAAACTCAGAAATGAGGATATTCGCAGTAGAACCAGAGTGACCGACATAGCCCAACGGATTAGTAAGCTGAAGTGGCAACGGGCCGACCATATAGCTCGAACAACCGACAACCGATGGGGAAGAAAGTTTCTCGAGTGGCAGCTTCGTACCGGCAGGCGAAGTGTTGGGCATCCCACTAGATGGAGTGACGACCTGGTAAGATATGCAGGAAGTCGATGGATGCAGGTGGCTCAGGGCCGTGCTTTGTGGCATTCCTTGGGGGAGGCCTATGTTCAGCAGTGGACTTGTGAAGGGCTATAATGATGATGATGATGATGATGATGATGTTGTAGCTGGAAATTAAGAGAAACTGAAAAAGGAATTAAAAAAGAAAGTACAACAATATTTATATAAACTAAAACTACACTTATATTACTAAATGTCTCTTATTTGAGTGTCTTTCGATAAAGGCCCCCTCCAACTCTTTCCACTGTTTTCTGTCTGCCGCTACTTTTATCCAAAGGGGTCCTAAGGTCAATTTTAGGTTAGCCTTCCTAGGTTGAAATCCTAGGTTGAAACCAATCTTGTCAGCATCACAGACGTAGAGTATCCAGTCTCTCGATATTCTACAGGATGCATTCGGTGAGTGTGCGCAGGAAGTCTCTAATCTTTTTTACAGCATAAGCTGCAGAGCTTAGTCTGCTTGATAGTTTGGATATATGGGGGCCCCACTGAAGCTTCGCGTTGAGAGTGATGCAAAGAAAACCAGAGGATTCTACCCCATTTAAAAACACATTGGTATTCAGATTTTTAACATTCGTTGTTGTAAATTTCATACATTTAGTTTTATTGCTGTTTAAATGCAGATTATTAACGTTAAACCAATGCACTAATTTTGATATAGCTTTATTCACTTCGTCACATTTAAATGATAGAGGTTTAAGTTTAAAAATCAAGGAAGTACTCGTATCATCAACAAATAATACTATATCATGATTATCCCCTACAAGGGAAGGTAAGTCATTAATATACACTAAAAATAGGAATGGGCCAAGAATCGAGCCCTGAGAGACACCCATCTTTACGGACGACCCGGATGAACTTTTACCATTGATAATAACTTTCTGTATTCTATTACTTAAATATGAAATAATAAGTTTAAGCGCTGTGTTCTTGACACCATAGTACTGTAGCTTCCTGATTAATGTCTCATGGTGAACACAGTCCAAGGCCTTGGAAAGGTCACAAAATACACCCAAAGCGTCTTCTGAATTCTCCCATGCACAAAAAATGTGTTTTATAAGCTCGACTCCGGCGTCGGTAGTCGAGCGACCCCTTGTAAAACCAAATTGATTTTTATGAAGCAATTTATTTATATTAAAAAAACTTAACATCTAATATAAAATAATTTTTTCAAAAACTTTACTTAATGTTGGTGGTACAGAAATTGGTCTAAAATTGGCGGGGTCTAACGTACTATCAGACTTAAATAAAGATATGACTTTACTATGAATAGAATAGAATAGAATAGAATATTTTTTATTCAATATACATTACGTGTGTAATTCTTCTTGAAAGTCATTTTTTACTTTACCACTGGTTCGAAAAAAAACCTCTGTCCTGGGAAGAACCAGCAAGAAACCCAGCGGGACTTTTTTTTAAATAAATTTTACAATATAAATGATTACGACCTATTTACAAAATTTATTTTAGAAACTGCTTGGAAGCGACCACCTCATTCCCAGGGGTTATTATCAACCATGTATTCATTTATATTATAATAACCCTTTTTATACAGTTTCAGCTTAATAAAACATTTAAACTTGTTAATAGAGAGAACCTGTACACTTTCCGGGACCTTGTTGTAATAGCGTATACATTGCCCCAAGAATGAATTACTGACTCTGTGGAGTCGAGAAACTGGCATCACTAGCTTGTGTTTGTTCCTAGTGTTTACAGAATGTATATCACTTCTTTTACTAAAACTATCTTTGTTTTTAAATTTTCGTATTTAAATTAATTTAAATTTTCGTAAATATACTGAGAGGCCAAAGTTAATATATTAATTTCTTTAAATTTATCTCTAAGAGACTCTCTCGGTTTTAGATTGTAAATAGCTCTAATGGCCCTCTTCTGTAAAACAAAAATAGTTTCTGAATCAGCCGCATTTCCCCATAGCAAAATCCCATAAGACATTATGCTATGGAAATAACTAAAATAAACTAATCTAGCTGTCTCGACACTAGTGAGACCTCTAATCTTTTTTACAGCATAGGCTGCAGAACTTAGTCTGCTTGCTAATTTAGATATATGGGGACCCCACTGGAGCTTTGCGTCAAGAGTGATGCCAAGAAAAACAGTGGATATAACAGGGCTCAATTCCTCCTCATTTAAAAACACATTGGTATTCAGATTTTTAACATTCGTTGTTGTAAATTTAACACAATTAATTTTATTTCCGTTCAAATGCAGATTATTAACGTTAAACCAATGCACTAATTTTGATATAGCATTATTCACTTCGTCACATTTAAATGATTGACGTTTAAGTTTAAAAATCAAGGAAGTATCATCAGCAAATAATACTATATCATGACTATCCCCTACAAGGTGAGGTAAGTCATTAATATACACCAGAAACAGGAATGGGCCGAGAATCGAGCCCTGAGGAACACCCATTAGTACAGGTGACCCGGAAGAACTTTTACCATTGATAATAACCTTCTGTTTTCTATTACTTAAATATGAAATAATAAGTTTAAGCGCTGTGTTCTTGACACCATAGTACTGTAGCTTCCTGATTAATGTCTCATGGTGAACACAGTCGAAGGCCTTGGAAAGGTCACAAAAGATATGTTTCATGAGATCAGGAAACACACCAGATTCGACACTTGTATGAAAAATTGTGGCTAGATAAGGTGCCACAGTATCTATTATAGACGCAATAACTTTAACGTAAATCCCCCATAACTCTGCCGTTTTCTTTATATCAATAATTATAAAACATTTAACGATATCTTTTGGCAATACTCTACGAAATTCAAAAGTATTTTAACAAGGCTTTACGTTTTATTTAAGCAGTGATTCGACTGTTTATGAGCTGTTTGGCTGTATGTATATGATCAATTGTACTAAAGTCTTTCCTGAACCCCACCTGTTCCATAGGTTGATTTTCGTCGAGTGTGAGTGATATTCTGTCTAGAATCACTTTAGCGAAGACTTTATATACAGTTGAGATGAGAGAAATGGGTCTATAATTTTCTATATTATCTTTTGGACCCTTTTTGTAGTATTATATGTGATTCTGCCCATTGGTTCGGAATGCTGCCGGTATTTAGAGTCTCATTGAAGACCTTTGTTAGTATATTGAGCTTAGTTCTTTAATTGTCCCTCTCATAAGTTCGTTTGTGATTCTATCTGAAACAGGGGGTTTTTCTATCTTTTTACTTTTTATAGATTTTTCTACTTCCTTATCTAATATTTCTGGTATAACTTCTAAGTCATCGATCCCATGGTTTTGTATATCTTTATATCCTTTATCTGGAAATTGTATTTTTGGCTGATTTGAACTGTGTTCTTTGTATAGTAAGTGATAATAGTATGTTGCTATATTTTAGATTTTGCTGGGAGAGGTAGATGGCAGTGTTTGTCTCTTAACTTTGGTATCGATTCTTTTCCCTGTTCTCGAAGTTCCTTAAGCGCTTTTTTCGTGCCTCCCGTTTTGCTAATGTCATTCTGTAGGGTTATAATTCTTCTATTTTTCCTGTAAATCCTCATATTTTCGCCAGTTCTGTTTGCTAAGGTTAGAAATTCCTTATTGATTATCTTTCTTATCTTTTATCTTTATTAAATTTCTTCTGTCTTCAATTAGTTTTAAAGATTTTTCCCTTAGGTAGGATTTTTGACTCTTGTTTATTTGTATTTTTGCCTGTTCTTTGATTATGTTTTCTATTTTTTTTTTATATTTTTGTAGTTAAGGTATATATCTGAGTAAATCAAGAGTACCTCTAACCGACGAGCGTGTATGCGTAGGTATATGGATGTGGAGGAGGCGAGAGGTGTGTCAGGATCGTGCCAAATGGAAGCCCATAGTCTCTGCCTACCCCTTTGAGTTCCTCTTTCTACTAATTGTTTGTAGAACTACTTACAAACAATTAATTTATTTGAGTTACTATTGGTCTAGGTTTTCTTACACTTTCATTGATAATTAATAGAATCAGGCGTTACTTTGCGGAAATCCATTATAATGGGGTTGTTATAAACTAGTTTGCTTAATTAATCCGGGAAGCCGCAAGGAATGGTAGTGCTGGGATTGACGGCGACGGGTATAGTGCGCGAGGTTGAGGGAGGTTGGGAGGTCCCTTTGGAAGTGGGCAGGACTTTC